GGGGGGGGGGGGGGGGGGAGAAGAAGGAGTCTCTGTCTGTCTCCAAAGTTGTCAATACTGCTGATTTAATTCAGCCTCAAGACAAAATGCATGTTTCTTATTATCTTCAAAGTTCCCATTTCTTATTCATCACCTGGGCATCTGTCACACTTACACACACATCTTCCCCTCACACCCCACAAGTGCAGAGTTTCAGACAAGATGAATAGTTACTAGAAGACACAACTTAGTTTGTGATGCAGACATGAGGTACAACTTAATTTGTAATGCTAACTGGGAGCAAGGCCTTATAGTAAACATTGTCTAATAGTAAACATTGTCTAATCGTGAGAGACACAAAGAGAAATAGAAGCTACAGAACTTATAAGCAAGTCATTATACATTAAATCATTATGTATCATACTTATAGTCTTATAAACAATACTAACTAATACTAAAATATACATTTTTGCTACACAGTTGAATTTTATTTAATTAGAATTATAAAGTTAGGGTAGTGCTTGAAAATCGTGACAGAGTTGGGGGGGATGGTGAGCGAGTCTGATTTGTTTTACTGACCTATAAAGAGGCAGCGGTGTCTTGCCTTAGGTTTTAAAAGTTTGGCAAACTCTGAGGAAGTGGCCAGATTAACAAAAGGGAAATTGACTTTAATTTATTTTCATTGACTAAATTGAGAGAGCTTAAATAGTGAGACACATTGGATTTTGAAATCTCTCAAAAATGTAATAATCTGAATTTGTGGTAATTATACAAGTAAAAAAATTGTTTGCAGCATACAGTTTTTAAGTTGATGACATTCCCTTTAAAAGAAAACTTCTCAAGCTGCTACTGGTTGTATAGGTGGAAGATTTATGGGATCCAGCACGTGGAGATTCCATTCAAACGTACGGCCAAATATTTATCCAACAACCAGGGCGTTATGGATGGCAGCACATGTTGTATGGGCATTTCAGAAAGCATCCTGTGTCAGTCAGGCAGTTTGTTGCTCTCTCTGGGCCACCACAATGTGCTTCCAAAAATTTGTTATTGTTGCCTTCTACAGAAGTAACATGATCACTGGAAATATGGCTGCCTAGAATTTTTCAGTGGTTGGCAACATTCATGCTTATGTACACATAGAGTACATCCCTCACACCCTCTCTTAGATCATTTTTCTTTTGATAGCATTGCTTATTTTATAGCATTAGATGCATGTATCTGCAAGTGCATCAGGATATCACGTCTCATATGTTGCTAGTTGCATAAAGGTCCAGGACCTAAATTCCCTATAAGATGCGTGGCCACACAGCTGCCTATTTTTCGTAGAATCATAGAACTGGCAGGAACTTCAAGAGATCAAGTCCAATCCCTGCAGTCATAGCAGAACTGAGAATCATGTAGCTCATCCCTGACAGGTGTTTATCTAATATGCTTTTATAAATCTCCAGTGATGGAGATTCCACATCCTCCCTGGGGAATTATTCCAGTGCTTAACCACCTTGACAGGAAGTTTTTCCTAATGTCCAACCTAAACCTCCCTTGCTGTAATTTAAGCCCATTGCTTCTCGTCCTATCAGAGGTCAAGGAGATCAATTTTTGTAGGATGACTCCTTGATTTTTAGATTATTGAAGATCATCTGGTCAAGTCAGGGTAGTCTCTTGCCTTACTACTCATCTTTCCTATGCAATGGAATAGTTTGCTCTTGAACCCTTAATAATGTCTTTCTGAAAAAATGGTAACTGTCTTCAGTTGTTTTCCTCTTAGACTTGTTCTCCATGGGTTCTTACCTACTAATTCTTGAATTTGCTAATGACTGCTGCACAGGTGCTCAATGATCTAGCCTGGGGATCTGCTGTACCCCGTGAGGGCCTGGCTCCTGCCTAGCCGTCGCCTGAATCTTTTTTGGAGGGTGGGGGTACCTATCCTTCTACCCCAGCCCTGAAGCTGTCACAGCAGGGAAAGGTAGGGTTGGGGACTTGCTCTGCTCACCCAGTGCTCCTGAGAGGGAGCAGAGTTGGGGGGCTTGCAAGTCTCTGTGCAAGAGACTTGGTTCACCTGGTTCCCCTGTTGAAGTGGCAGATCAGACCCCGGCTCTCTGACCCCACTCCCCATGGAAGCTCCAGACGGGCAGAACAGGGCCAAGTCCATGCCTGACTTTTATTCCTGGCAGATGGTGTGAGGGGGGGCAGAATGTGGGGAGCATTCAGGACACACATTTTTATGGGGGGTCCCTGGCCAAAGCATCTATTTCTGCCCTTCTTCAAAGACTAGCTGGGGAAGAGGAGAGGCAACCCCATAGCTGCTATCCACCCACCTATCCTGTTCTGGCTATACCACTATCCAGGGATGGGAAAAATTAGAGGGAACATTGTCCAGAACCACTTGCATCCTTTGTGCTTGTTGTGTAACTATATACAGGATTCCACATAACCCAAAGTTCCTCATGGTTTGGATTCAAGATTTTTTTTTGGGGGGGCTAAAACCTGAAAATATGAAATGTACATATTTTTTCAACACAAAAAGAGGTAATTACCGTTTTGTTTTGAATATATGACAGTATTATGAATCCAACTCCTGAGGAAATAATGTTCTGTTCTCTTCCTGATTTAAAAAGCCACACACTAACCAAGAGTCCATCATCAATGTTTTATGAGGTTTGTAATACCGATTAAAGCAGCCTGCTTTGACCTTACTGTTGACCTGAATGTGCCCGATGGTGCTTTGTTTTAAAAATATCTGTTACATTCTGCAGATGAGTTAAAGCTCTTGGCATGAGGTGTCAACAGGGTGATGATGGAGTTAAAAATGCACTGTGCCCGTTCCCCTTGAAGAGGCCAATATGCTCTGTGTGTGTGAATTGACATTTAGAAAATGGGGTCAATCACATGTAAATTACGATACACATTCTTACACAGTCTTCCAATTCCCAAAAGCCTTAATAGCATTCAGAAAAATATGCTCTGCCACTCTCTCTCACATCTAGATAGGACTTTATTGCTCTTATTCCAGTGTAATTAAAGCAAACCCCCATAGTTTTAATAACTTATGTACATGCGCAGTACATTTTTATAGTTGCATTGTTAACCAGCAAAACCTAAGCAAATGCCCAAATCAGAGTACTAAGTATTGAGATTAAATTAAATGTATGACTTTGTAGAGAATGTGTCTGATGTAAACTTTTTTGAAAAGTCTGTTTTCTTGCATATGTTTTTTCCCCATATCTATACATGCCTTGGCACAATGGGATGACGTCAAACCCCTCTAAATTCTGTGGTAAATTCTGTTAATTTTATTCTCTCTTCAGTCCCACAAAAGCACACTCAACTGTGGCTCATAATTGACAACACTTACAGAAATATAGTCTGTACAGTCAGGCAACTCCCCCCTCCCCGCCCCATTCGTCAGTATTTTTGAGTTTGCTGTATTCAGCCTGGCTTCATGGTTTTGGCAGTTAAAACATTGACCAGGTGGCCTAGTTCAGATGCTGTCCCTGAAAGAAAGTCAGGAAAGGGGCAGATTGTAGCTAACTTTGATGGCTCATCTGTGGGACTTCCTGACTCTTGTTTACTGCATTGTTCTTCTATCAGTCCAGATGGCCGTCCTAAACATCTGACTCTCTTCCCTCCTGGTTAGGAGCTCTACTCCAGTTCTAGCTTCATGGAAGATTGCTGATAGTCTGCTCTGTAATCTTGTTAATTCCTTCTTTGCAAGGAAAGCTAGAGGATGAGGAAGCTATAGGCAGGCCTGGACAGGCAGACCAAACAAAATGGCAGGTGTCTGACTGCAAATAGTTAATCCTATGGCCCTTTGGAAATATTCTGAGTTTCATAGCTGGTGGATTGTGGAATCCAGGGAGGTGCTGCTGATTGAAATGAGTGAAGTTCACCCCTTATAGAGGTATTGCTTCAGGGTCTCTGAAGGCTGAGAAGGAGGGGTGATGCTTCATTTTTGAGGCTGTCTCCACAACCATAAGGACTAGAAACTTAGTTTTTAACCAAATGAAAGCTGAGATTTGTGGAGCTGAAGCATGTGGCAAGACGAGAATTCTCTAGTAAATTTAATGGTCATGGAAAATGTTTTTTCCTCTTGAGGGAAAACTTCTATTAATCAAATGACATGTCCAAGGGTAGGGGCTTTTCCCCCAAAGTGCCTGCCATATCTTTTATTAATGGCTTGCACTTACTGCAATTTTTTAATGTTTATTTTTGATCACTTCAGGGTTTTGAATATGTCTCTAGGATTAAATAGTGATGCACTTAATGCCATTTGCTTTAATCTGTTCCTAAACAAATTTCTCCATGAAATCTTTGCGAGATTTACCAAAGTAATAATTGAATTTAATAAGCAGAAATATGAGAAGTGTGTGTGGAGGGAAAAGTATGTTAGTTGCTATTCAAAATTGCTAGCAGCATTTGTGAGGAACTGTGTGATTTTTTTTTTTTTTTCCCCCATCTGTGCCTGTGTCTGTTCTCTGCAAGAGATAAGCATCTAGCATTGTGTCCACCTTGGATTTTAACCTCTTCTCCCCACTTCCTTCCCATTTGCAGGGTTGGTCGACGGCCAGTGCTACTCTCTTCAGTTATATTCATTCTGATCTTTGGACTGACTGTGGCTCTTTCAGTAAACGTGACAATGTTCAGCACACTCCGATTTTTTGAAGGGTTTTGCTTGGCTGGAATAATCCTATCCCTGTACGCACTACGTGAGTATTACATTCATAATTCAGTCAACTCCAGTTTTGCTTAAATACACAGTATG